TGAGAGTATAAAAAAAACCAAACACCTCGGACATGGAAGAAAGAGTCCAGACCTCATTTTCTGCAGACGAATTGTCTGCTTCATGTCAGTTACCCACACTCATATGCTTACTCATGCCTATGAAAAGAAGAATAACAGCATCAACATCCTTCACCTGGCGCACGATGACCTAGGGCTGGGAACCCTTTGGTGTTAGAGGATGGAGACCTGGTCAACTAGGGATGGAAATCTCTAAGAGGAAAAAAAAATAGAGCAATCCCGTCTCCCTTAGAAAAATTATGTATTTCTTAGACTGACTTCTTCATGGCACAGCAGTCAAGAGCTATTCAGCCCATTAGAATAAGGTTGATTTTGAGGGCTAGCATCCACTAAAGGGAAGCTTATGGTGGTGTGAACTCACAGGAATGAACAGAAAAGAGAAGGAAAAAAAAAACATTCATGCAGTTCCTCAGTGGGTATATCTAGTGTCCTGTGGTTCCTGAGGCAGGGGAGGGGGTGGGAGGAGGGGAATGGAAGAAGATGAAAGAAATAGCGTAGACCTTTCCTGTGCCTGAGTAACTTCCCATATGAGGAGCCAGTTCATCTAACATCTTTACTGCAGTACAATTAATTTTCATCTGCAAAATTTTAGAAAGCTTTAGACTGGTACTTCATGGTAGTGAAGACATATGTTTTTGGTAAGCAGCTGATATGCCCTTTGTGGCACTGATGTATCTAGTCTTGTGATCCATGGGTCACTTTTCACTTGGTAGGGTCAAAAAGTTGGTAGTGGGAAGACCTTCCTCAGATTCCTCCTGCAGATTGTGAAAAAATTCCCTATACCTCCTTGCCAAATGTCATTTAAATCCCTGACATGTATCTGTTTATTCATCAGTATCAACAGAAGTGTAGAAACATAGTGCTAATGTTTACGTTCTAATTAAGGAATTCATTTATGTTGCCTCCTTTAAAAATATTCTCCTCGGAGAAAATATGATCCCAAAGCTGATTTATCAGGTTTAAATTTAAGAAAACTATATTGTCAGAACAACCACACATTCCTTTTTGCACCACTTTTCAAATCTGTTTCCTATTACCATCTCTGCATCAGACAAATACAACGAAGTTATTTACAGGCTGTGAAAGATACTAAATCTTTTCAGAGTAATATTACATTGGATCACAAATTCTCACTTTTAATAATAATTGACAACAAACTAGAGCTAAGGATATTCACAATTAGTAACAACAACACATAATGCTCTCCCAGTGCCTTGTATCTTCAAGACCCTATGCATTCATAAGCTGCCGAAGCCTTATTAACGTTTACTTTGGAAGGATGTTAAATATTGTTATCTCCATTTTACAGATGGTGAAAGAGGCTCAGTAGGATTGTGACTTGCCTAAACGCCTTGGAAAAGTTTAATTGCAGAAGCAAGACCAGAGCTGCCGAGCTCTTGGCTCCCAGTTGTGTGAGAGAGCAAAACATGCGTTTAAAAGCATCCTGTGCCGTAGGAATCCCAGTTCCAGTGCACATCAGGACTTGAAGAGCGCTGGGGCAGTGTGGCTCCTCAGGGGCCTTTTGGGCTCCCAGCTCCCATTAACTTTGAGTGATTTTGGAGCTCTTGAAAACTCCTTTCAGTCCTTTGAGGGAAATGCACAACACCTGTGATTCATAGATGAGATGGAGAGGCAGAGCAAAGGCTCGGAGCTATGGCCAGGCCCACGTGCAGCTCCGCCGCCATTCAGAAGCTGTCAGGCCGAGAGCTGAACAAGTCCTCCCGGACTGAAGAGCTGGGGGGGGGGGGGGGGGGCAGGCAGCAGTGCTGCCAGCTCTCCTCACTGACATGATTTCCTCGGGAGCAGAGCCAGGAAAGATCTGAAGGCAGAGCTCCACCCCCCCTTATAAAATTCAGCTCTTGCCATCAGGAGGAAAACCTCTTGGCCTGGCCCCCTGTGCCTTGCTCTCCACCTCCAGAAGAAGGCAACATCTCAGGTGGCTGGGACTCCTGAGGCTCTCTGCATCCCTCTTCTCAGCCAGCCCCTGCTGGGAAGGAGGGAGCTGAGAGCTGGGTTTATGTGCTAGCATGTGTGAAAGGAGTGTAAGATGAAGAACTGGTATGCAGCTGGGAAGCAGCCCCTCGGGGCTCAGCCAGGCAGGGCAGCTGGGACCAGGGTGGGTGGGAAGGGTCAGGTGGCAGCAAAAATTGCTGTCATATGTGGGTAGGGGTGTATGGTATGAGGCACACAGGTCCTCAAATGAAGGAAAAGTCAGGAGGAGCTGTGAACGCCCTAATGACAAAAAGCTGCAACAGTTCCTGGTGTTGGGACCTTGGCAGGTCTCCCTCACCCACATGCAGCCTTGCACCATTATGTCTACCACAGCCTTTGGAGATGAGGAAGGGAAAGTAGTTAAAACTCAAAGGAGGGACCAAAGATATCCTTCATGCATGGGTGTGTCTAGTGGTGTGTGTCTTATTGTTGCCCAAATAATTATATTTTTCTTTGGTGATAACAGTGTGTAAAATTGTCTTGGCAGCAGGAGACAGACTAGAAATTGTACGGAGGAAGACCAGCTACCCAAAAACATTGGTGAAAAGGGAAAGAAATTCTTGGATGGGAGAGAGGACACCAAAAGCATGGATAGAGTCGGGTGAGAGAAAATGCTGGAGAAGGAAAGATATCCTTGCAGCCTTAGTTGCTGCTGCAGCCATCCTTCAAGGACCAGATGCTCCAAGATTTTCATGTCAAAGTTTTAAACTCCATTCCTTGGCTATGACTTTTGGCCTTAGACAATTCTCAAGGGGATGCAGAAACCATTTACAGCATGGTCATGAATATTTGTGGTCTATGTTTAGAAATGCTTTGGTGGCTTCATCACATTAAAACATTTTGGGGAGGTGTATTGCTAAGTGAGTGCTTACTACTAGGAAGATCTTAAGGTAATTCTGAATAATGAAGAATGAGAAAAGTCTCCATTATGTGGGAGAAACTACTAGGGCAGAGGACCACTCTCTAGGCCAAACCTATTAAATTCAAGGGAAAAACAACTTTAAGATGGCCTTGTGCCTACACTTAGAAATTTAATTGAATTTGGAGTAGGCTTTATAGACTGAGAGACTCAGCATGAGATTAATTATTCATTGCAATGATGGCAAACACAAGCAGTAAACTGGCCAGTTGGTCCTATCCAGAATATAAAAAGAATCTAATGGGGGTGGTCAGGATAAATCAGGTAAAATCTCTAGATGGTAGAATGTCACCTGCCCAGGGGCCAGAATGGGGAAAGGTTAAGGTCTCTGGGGGAAAAAAAAAAAAAAAAAAATTGCTTTTTAATGTTCTTTTTGCTTGAACATGTTAATGTCCCATAGGCCTGTTCTTTACATAATTCTGTTTGCACAAGATGAAGGGGGTACCAGAGTTTTGCCAGCTTCATGTAACTCATTGCAAAATCCTTGAAAATACTGTTTAAAAATATTTATGCAGGAAAAAAAGTTATTTCACACATTTCTAGTCAGCAGCCAGCTTTTTAAAATAAACCAATCTGTCCTCAGAAATAAAAGAGAAGAAGAAATAAAGATCCAAATTCGCAGTTGGTGTAAATTACCAGACTTCCACTGAAGTCAATGTAGGGTTGCCAATCTAAACTAACAGAGAATCCAGTCCAGAAACTGTGAACGTCATTTTAGAAGCCTTTGAAATAGGGTCTGTGAAACATTATGTGCCTGTAGAGTACCTCGCAGAATGGTGAAGAGTGGGGAGAGCCTGCAGGTATCCCAGGACATATAGCAAACAAAAGTACCGTGACTGAAATTTTGCTTGAGAAATGTCGTATCAGTTAAAGTGTAGTGTTTAGAGGGTACAAAAAAATTGCAAGTATCAATCACTAGTTGCTTCTCCAGTAAACTAACTGACACAGAAACTAGAGTTTTCTCATGCTAACAAAGTTAAATATTTAACCGTAATGTTAAGATAAATATGTTTTTTTTTTTTTTAATTATTTATTTATTGACATAAACAAACAAAGAAACGTTGGAGTCCCATGTCTCTCCAGCAGATTATGTATCTGAAACAAGGAAAGCTTCATTTAGACCAGTTCTGTTTGGTGTCTTTGTCATTTACCCTTTTACCTACTGGGAACTGTACAATTTCTAAAGAGCATGTGCCTTCTCACTTTTGGATTTAAAAGGGTGATCTCAGCACCCCAAGAGGGATTGTAAAGGTTATTGGTTATTCTAATCTATTAAAAGTCTCTCTGGAAGGGTCAGCTCATGACTGGACTATTCATCTTGAAAAACAAACCAGCTAAGCCTATGGTAGTGCACAGATCAAGTATTTTCTTATTTGTTCTGTGAACATCATGGCAACCTTCTTTCTCACCCTCAGCCTTATGTTGCATTCTATAAGGTGGGTGTTTCTTTGTTGTTGTTTCCTTTTTTTTTTTTTCTTCATCAGATTCCTTTAGGTTGTGAGAAGGATGGTGAAAACTCACCTTCAGGGCATGAAGAGATGGGTATTTGGAGAAGAATGGCTGGTATGCACTTACCCTGCAGCCCCTGGGGTCTCTTCCTGCTTGGTACTTCCATCACTGTGCATGGTGGTACTTGATGCCATGGCTGACGCCTGACATGCTAGTTCCTTGGCCAAGTCCCACGGCTGTGTTTGCTCAGCATATAACTTGGTGGGACCTAGTTCCAGCCCTCTGGGTACTGCTATAATATTAGTGTTACTGTACAATAATAATAACACGAGTACATATTTTATGAGCACTCTGCTCTCACTGCTGGAAAAAGCAGCCAATACTGGAAAAGAAACATGAAGATTTTTGGCTGAAAATCTTCTGGTGAACTTCAAGAGAGACCAGAGGCCAGGTCCTCAGGTGACATAACCTGGCAGCTTAGCCTCGCCTCAATTGATAGGGTTGTGCTGGCTGGCTCATGCCAGATAAAGTCTGGATCTCAATGTATAAGAACTGATCATGATGACTTTTTTTTATTATTATTATTTTTTTTTAACTGTAGCAGCCACCACCAGGCAGCCAAGAGATGCTTGAATCAAAAAGGCTGGAGTCTCAACAAGCAAAGTCTGAGGGCATGGGAAAATTGATGCTCTGAGCCTTACTCCACCAAACACTGAGCTCGGCTGGAAGTGCGGACACTGAGGTCCTGGGGTTAGCCTTACATCACTGGAGGTGGGAGCAGATACATACCCTCTGGCTTCTGCCAGAGCTAAATATAAACCCCTGATGGCTCAAATAAGTCCTGTGGGGAAAAGCAATGGGCTTGAAAGAGAATGGGGGGTGGGAAAGGGGGTGGAGAGGGGGTGAAGGAAGCGATAAACAGCTACAGTACTTTGACATAACAAAACTGAGAAAGGAGGACCTATACTTGGGCAGCAGTTAAGAGTAAAGCCTGGAGGGGAAGTGAAGGTTACATGCCCTTCCTTACAGCCATGAGATGCCCAATTGCCTTTGGTGAGAATCTTGCACCAGCCCCTGTTAGCTGAGGATAAAGTGCCTTTCAAGCCTGTGAACTCTTCTGGACAGGAATAATTCCATGTGAAGTGCTTGAAAGAGCCGGGCCTAGGTCATTAATACAGATCCCTGAGCACCAGCAAGGCTGCTAATTGTGAACAAGTCATTTCCAAAGGTTACAGTCTATTGTGGCCAATGGTCAATAGCAAGCAAATGCCTTCCTATTTCTGCAAAGAGAGAGCTGAATAACATAGGCTTTGTTATTATATATTATAGAAAAAAATCCATGGGAAAAGTTTTACTTCTTCGTTGTGAAAAAAGAAAAAAAAAAAAGAGAAAAAAAAAGGAAAAAGTGGCATACTCTCTTGTATCAAATGAAGTTTAGAATATGAAATGGTTGAATGCTCCACATTACAGAAGTAAATTCTTCCCCTGTGGAAGATGGGTGCAAGTGTTTGTATTATTTGTATGTCATCCAACTATCTGGCTACATACATACTTTGCAGTAATGCATTTGTTTTGTACTGTTGGATAAAATCACCAATAGAAAAGAGATTTAGTAGGTACCCAGACTTCTAATTTTCCATCATTGTTTTATCTTAAGCTATAACTAATAACTATAAAAACCATCTGTGTCCCAACTACCCTCAAAGGAGTTTATTAAGCAGATCTTCACATTTTATAAAACTGTTCTGATAGCTTACTTGTTTCACAGGAAGAAAGGAAAGGAAAAAGAAAAAAGAAAAGAAAAGAAAAGAAAAGAAAAGAAAAGAAAAGAAAAGAAAAGAAAAGAAAAGAAAAGAAAAGAAAAGAAAAGAAAAGAAAAGAAAAGAAAAGAAAAGCTCTCCTGCCAGAATAAATTACTTAGCTCATGGATTAAATATGTGTTCAGAAACTGGTAAACGTAAGGAGTAATACTTTTTCCTTGAAGTAGGTTTTAGGAAACAAACTTTGTTTCCTGAACTGTAGATATTTGTTCTTTGACAACAGTCTTTTAAAAATCTTACTGGAATTCTTCAAATGTGGGCTAGTAGATTCAAGTTTTAAAGGTGTCTAGGAGCTGCAATGGGTTATTTACTGTTTTTCACAAATGAAGAGTATCTGTATTATTACAGAATATGGGATTAGAATAGGTATTTTTTTTCTCTTTTTCTTTCTCTGACACATTATTTTTCTTTTCATGTCATCTCTGTACCTCTCAGGACCAAATAACAGAAGAGAAATGCTAAATACGAAGCTGACCATGACAATCATTCCCAGGAAACTTTGCTGATATATTGAAAACAAAGATGGAACATATAATACTGGAAAAACAAAACAACAACAAAAATAACCCTCCAACATATGAATAGTATGGTAAGATACTTAACATTTTATTGTTGCTTTTATTTTGGATGTATTTTAAATTATAAAATACCTCGATAGTCAGCTTTCAACTGGAAGTTTTTTTCTAATTTGATTTAATTTTTCATCTTACAATTATTATTGTCAGATAGATGCAATACTAGTTCTTAGGATTTGTCCATTACTATTTGCGTTATTTGCATGATCCTATGTTTTATTGTTGTGACTGAATTGTTCTAAGACTCGTTAAATTTATTATAATATTGAAGACAATTTTATTGTGCTACATTTGTTTCAGGATTCAAATAGAAGATTTCTATGTGCTCAACCCATCCCCCACGTGAAATCAGTAGTCTTAAGCAGTTCCAGAATTTTTTTCTGATAATTTTTTACAGTTGCTGGTCTGAGTAACAAAAAGACTTTGATAAGATACAATGAGATGAATCTTGCAAAGCAAAAGGAATGAGTTTTGCTGATTTTGGTGTAGATATCACAAATGTCATCATGATTGAATGAATCTTATAACAGGAACCAGCTGATTTTATAGACAAAAGTCCTGATCTTCACTTTGATAAATCTCTTCTTATCTGAATGAAGATTGCAGTATTAGACCCACATGGAACTTGGTCATAGGCCAACAATAGGAAAGGGAACAGATTTTTATTTTTATTTTTTCTCAGCCAATGTGCTGAGAACAGAGACATTATTTTGTGATTAGAAATCTGACTCTATTGTTGTGCAGATTTATTCTAGCTATTGTCATATAAGGGAGAAAAAGGGCAAGTGAGGTAAAAACTCTTTTCCCTTAATAAGAGTTACTTTTCACCCATACTCGCAAGATCCTTACAATCTTGTTTACTCTATAATCCTCCAGCGACCTGTCATATATGAATGGCTGTATGCTTGCATTTGCACAAAGATGGCAGCAATAGTAACACGTATGAAATTTCATATCATGCTCCTGTGAACTCCTTGGTGAGGCTGGGGACCTGGCTCAGATGTTGTGATCAAAATGTGCTAGCATATGACACTTTGTGGTAGGCACTCCAAATGTATCCTGGTGTCCTCTGTAAAGAGGTGAATACTCAGCTGAAGGATGGCGGGACTTCCACTCCTGCACCTTTTAAGACCCTTCTCAGCCACAGTTGACTTTCTTCTGCCTCTGCTAGGACTGTAGGTCAAATCCAAAGAAGACAAAATGCAATGAACTTTTCTCCTGAGATTTAAGGGCCAACTATCCAGTACTGGAAAAAATTGTAAGCTGAGTAGTCTCTGCTATATGGATATCTAAAAGAAATATTTCATTACATTTCTGAGGAAATAGGAATTTTTCAGTTATTTATCTCGCATGGAAACAAAACTTGGAGCAAATTAAATGCTACATTTATTCCCAAAATTGATGGCTCTAAGTTAAATGAGCTTTTGATCTGTATTGCAGAAAGCATTGGTGACAAAAAGCCATCAGATATGCCTACTCCATGACCCTACAGGAATCACAGTCATTAGTCATGTTGGACTAATCATACAGAAGTCATATACATATAGAAATACCACCAGGTATCTTTACTGACAATACCATCCCATGAGGACTACAAATAGGCATTTAGGTAGTTTATAAAGCTTATGAGTATGGCAGGATTGTTATTGAACTCCCTACCAATAACCAAATACATTTGGACTTTAGAAAGCATGCTGCATTCATTAACAGGCAGTTAATTAATAGCAGTGGTGAGTTTGTGGAAATGCTACTGTTGTTTAATAAGCTTTTTGTCTCTGACTCCTATGGTAGCATGTATTAGCAGAGCCATGATATATCGGATTCAGGTAGCTGGGTATTACACATATTTCTTACTAAATGGCCACTGTTGAAATGAAATCTATCTTCATTAAGCAAGAACACACCTGTTCTTTCAATGCCCATTGCAAGATTAACATTTACCACTTTTTTTTTCTGATGTGTGCTGTAAGGAAATGTATGCTTTGGTACATATGAGGTCCAAAAGGGTAAAACAAGCTATGGTCTATGGAAAAGCTGGAGAGGGAATTGCATTTAGTACCAGACAACAGAAAAGTCAATCGAGTCAAACTACTCTTCATGTTATTCAAAGGCAGCTGGGTAACCATTTGTACTTTAGTCATGTCCCTTCTCCCTCCCCACTCCTAAAACTTCATTATAACCAAGCCTTTAAGAGCATTCCACCTCCCCACTTGAAAGAACATGCACCTGCATCAGGGTATAGGTTTAACTTTCTATGGGTATTCAACATGGATTCTGAGCTGTCCTCAAGAAAGGACAGGTGCACAAATATGCACATGCAAATACACTGGGAAGCAGAAGGAAAAACTGTACATCATTATTCATCTCTCTTCTATCTGGACTCATGGGAAGATGAGGATTCAGGTCTTACAATTTCAATTATTTATTTCTGCTACTTACATACAGTCTAAATTCTAGGTGCTTCCGGTTTTCTTCCTAAAGAAGTTTTTGGCAATTATATTATTTTTATAATTTAATTCTTCTGAAGAATGAATGAAGTTTGAATGTGCAACTGAACTTCTGAATGAGGAATGTTAACAACTTACAGAGTTGTTGGCTGGAGTAATTATTCTGTTTTTCATGCTTTTTTTGCTTCACAAAACTGCTTGACTCTCTGCATATTTATATACTTTTTCATGCAAAAGGACAATGGCTTCTAGCTTTTTGTAGATCAACACAAAGCCAGGAATTTTATTTTGTCCTCATATTTGGTGCTGATCTCTCTTTCTCTACAGTTTTGTCTCTGTTTAACATGAAAACTAAAACTTTTACTTATATCACTGTATAAACTAAAGGGTAGTTTTATTTGCAACAAAATTAGTAACGGCAGATAAAGGAGAGGGAGGGTGGCAGTTGTGAAGAACAACAAAGGTCCACTAGAAAATCTTTGAACCAAAAGGTGATCTGCATTATCAAAGTCCCTGAGAACTCCGCTTTATGGTTCAATATATATAACAAAATTTATATATATATAAATATCTATCTTCCAGGCTTTTGTGAGTCTCAATGCAACCTTAACAGTAATACAGTTTTATGTTTTAATTTCCTTAAAGGAAAGTCTTCTTTGGAACCCATGAATGTTTCAATGTTTTGGAAATATCTAAATAGCTGTTAAATATCTATAGAGACCTATGATTTTTTTTTATCCCCTCAGCAATCATTTCATGCATTATTTTGAGAAAAGGGACTATATGTACTGTAAATAATACAGAAAAATACATATCTATGCATTATCTGATAAGCTGAAATAGTTCTGTCTGTTAGTTAATTATCCAAATACTAAAGAAAAGTTAGGCTAATGATTTCCAGACAGTTGTTATGCCATATCATGTTAAAGCAGCTGTTAACCATATGCACTACTGTAGCTCTGCTTATATTAACCATTATGAAATTTTCCTTGGGGAAAAGTGCTCACGTGCTTGCAGAGAACCTCTTTGCCCTCTTTTAAATGAAATAAGTTGGTTATTCTTAGAGCATGGTGAATAATTTGTAACAAATCATTTGGTGATTTTCTCCTGCTCGTGAATAGAGATTATGTTTTTCCAAAGTCACCATGCACCTAAGGAACTGAAGTCTCACAAGTGGTTTGAGGCATGTCTGTGGCTTGAAATGGAGCAGTAGGGAGCACTGGGAGAGATCTCTCCAGGACTGGCACCAGTGCAGTGCTGAGCTCTGCTGTCTGCATGGCTTTGGGATGCAAGGCCACATCTCCTACCAGCACTGCACTGTGTTGCACCAGCCTGTCAGCTCATCTGATGGCAACCCTTGACACTACCACACCGCTCTTTTGCACAGAGAGACAGCCTTATAGTGGGATAGGATTTCATCTGAGTTTGAGAGAGAGAGAGACAGAGAGAAAGAGATCTGTGAATTCCTAGGGGCTTATGGCAGCAAATATTATAGTGAAAACTACCAGAGAAACAAAATTTATGAACAGAGGTAGTCTCTTTTATTAGGCTGACTAATATAGTTGGAAAAAACAGACAAGGCTTTGGGTCAAAAACATTTCTACAGGTCCAAGATAGAAGCATATCTTGAGGACAGCTTGTGTGCATGGCAGCTTGTTTTTTGTTTTTGTTTTTGTTTTTTTTTTATGCACGTGTGTGTGTGTTGTTTTTTTTTCTTTCCACTTAGAACAGCTACATTATGAGAGGCATTGTACTTTAATCATAAACATTGATTGACTTTTCTTAAATTATCAAAATGATAAGATGACATACACCTATCACCAGTTTAATGAGTACCTACCATCATTCTCATCAAATTTGCATACTAATTTATCATCTTAAGCTGCCCAAAAGAAGGGTATGGTACCTCTGTTAACTCAGTGTAAACATGAGTTAACATTTCAGGAATATTTGTTTGGGTCTGTTACTTTGTGTCTTAGTTGCATTCACCTTACATGAGCATTCAAACAAGTCTTCACAAAAATAAATAAAATTTAAGATGAAAGTAGTTTTATTGAATGATGAACACAGAAATGTTTTGTCTTAAACATGAGCCTACCCTGGTTACATCATGAAAGATTCACATTTCTTCTCTCTGACTTCCAGTCAGTCACACAGCTGGGAAGAAGGCAGTTGTGCTGTATTCATACAGGATTACCACTTGTGAGACTTTAAGACCTGTTCATTTTTTATTCTTTGTGGATAAATCCTAGGTGTTGAACTACAAAAAGACATGGATGGATGGATGGATGGACGGACGGATGGACGGAAACCAGAGGAGAGCACTGACTGTAATCAAAGGTCTAAAATTATATCTTACAAGTAATGGCTGAAGGAATTCAGATTGTTTTGTCTGCAATAGAATAAAAAGAAATTGTGATAATAGTCTTCACATACGTGAGGGTGCCAGCAAGAATGAAAAAAAAAATCTTCTGCCCTTTGTGCACAAAAGAAGAAATAATTTAAACTAGGAACATGGCAGAGATGAATTGACTAGATAATTCCTTAGTGTCCTTAAAACATCTCTTTTCTCTGATCTTATGATTGATGACTATGTGATGTTTGCAATAAAATGCACAGAAAAGATGTCCTACAAAATCCTTTTGCTCTTCTCACCTGAATGCTTGACAGTGTATCAACAAAGGATATTTTTCCTTTCAAAAATTTTTGTCAATGTTTTTCATCTGAGACCTGAATGTCACGATATAGTGATGTTATATTGGCACAACTCAAACACCCCCACAATGATCTGTAACTTATTTCAAAAGTGTATTATTCAGTTTTAATATTAGGGAATCACTGAACAGAATAAGCCCATTGTCTTGGTGAAAAGAAAGGTCCAGAAGATGCAAGCTTGCATTGTGGCCTAGCAGACATTTCTGAGCACAGATATGTCCCCTCAGCAATTCAGCCACTTGCTCAAATGTCTATTCCTGCTTCTGACAGATCTGAAAAATCACATTTTGCAAAGAGACCAAACCTGCTCAGACAGTGACAAATAATTTGAAAATAACTGGTCTGACCGGGTGTCCGAATTGTTGACAGAAGGGAAATGCTGGTGTGTGCAACAAGCACAGAAGATGAAAGCCTTTCCCCGGCACTTTTCTTGCACTGAAGCCCTTACTCTGACCTGCGGCCTCACCAAATGACCTGTGAGCAGAGAAAAGGGAGAGTATAAGAAAACAGCTTCTCCTAGGAGTTTTTTTTTTTTTTTAAGAAACGTTTGCCCCAGATGCTGCAGATATATCTTTTATAGTGCTTGCTATCTGTAAAGAGTTAGTGACGTGGTCTGGAAAACCAGATACTTTTGCTTTTCACATGTGTACTTTTGCTTTTCAGATATGGCAAGACTGTATTAATATTTATACTGTAAATTTATGAATTTTCTCTTTATTCTCATTTTCTTATCCGAGAAACTGGTCTGGTAGAGCTGTGCGCAGCTCCATCGCACCCCTCTGGTGCCCCTTTCCTCCCTGTCCGGGCACTCCTGGTTCACCCCTGGAGACAGGACACCACTCCAGGTGGACCTTGGGGCTGGCTCCTTATGGCACTTTAATGTCCTCATATTCTGCCTTGCAAGCATGTCACCAAAGCCACCATGGAGCCTTGGGACTCTAAGACCAAGGATTCTACTTCTGACTCCTCTGCTTTTCTTTCTAGGCAGGAGCCCTGGGCAGCCTGACTCTTGTCTACAGAAGCTTCTGAGAAAAATATCATCTGGCATGCAAAGTATTGCATATTTTTAAAGGACTGAAAGTACACTAGGACAGTGACTGCTTCTCCCTGAGTATCTAGAATATTGAACACAATGATACTGTTGGATTAATTCAGCTCTACCCCAAAAAAATAATTTCCAAGACTATATCAATATGTACATTGGTCCATTAGTCTTTTTTGTCTCAAAAAGCAGGAGAGTTATTTTGTTTGTTTGTTTGTTTGTTTCAGATGTTTCCTGTGGGGTAAGAGCTTTGTATGGCCAGATTATTTGGACACACTGTTTTAAATGACTGTGATCCTACAGAACTCTTATGATACTTTTCTCATATTTTAATCCAAAAGAAAGTACATACCAGACCTTTTCATCCTGTTCTCCAAACTCTTTACCAGTGGAATGGCCTACTATGGCTGCAGCTGGAAGAAGTTTTAATTAGCTGCCAATGATGTCATGTCCATGTCTGTGTTAAAGGCACAGGTCTAAGTGTTCCTTTTTATTTAATGTACTGCAGAAATTCCATTTTGGGATAGCATTAAGACACTTCAGAGCCAATCTTGCATTTCTCCCGTAGTTAAGACACTTGGCCTTCAGCCCCCTGACTTCTGACACTACCACAGTTGTGCTATAATCATCCAGAAATACACTGCCTGTTGTGTTTTATTGCTCATGTGAAAACTGTCCAATTCCTTGTCAGTTGACAAGGGAGGAGCGCCGCATTGAAGGATTGCACAGCAGTGTGTCTGGGAGCTACGTTATTTCACACCAGCAGCAACCTTTCAGTGTTTGTGCTGTAGCCTCATAGAGTGTTGGTGCTTTTGCCATACAGCAGAGAGCAAACCCTATTGTAGTCACTCTCTCTGCCAGAGAGACTAACTCATGTTGCCAAATATCTCCCCTCAACACATTTATTGAACATTAAAACAGCAGAATAGCGTTGAATGAAGTCCAGTAATTTTATAGGATATATTTTAGTCACTAGACTTTGAAGACTAGTCCAATGTTAATTATAAAGTTTCTGTGTCTGGATAACATATTGTTAACAGTTATTTTGTAAGTGCTAATGGCAAGATGGAAGATTTCCAATAGTTTTATTGAGGAAGTGGCAATTAAAATGTTGAGCGCTGCAACATACATACAAAATAAAAATAATCCTGCATACACAGCATTTTATGTTTTAAAAAAAAGGAAAACGGAAAAAAAAAACAGGGATGAAATTTTTCCTTTGAAATAAATGCAACCATTTTATTTCTAAAAAGTTTTGCTTTTGAAAGAAAATAAACATTGATTTACTTGCCAACTTCAAATGTCACGAGCCTTGAACAAGTTTGACATTGTTTAAAAGCACATCGTGAAACTATTAGAAAGCTAAGACAAGTTGCTATGTTATGTTTTTCCACACACAAAGAGCAACAATATGTTCTCAGTTTGAGTAACTTCTCTTAGATTAAGGGAAACAAAACAAGAAAGAACAAAAGTAAAATGTTCACAAGAGCACATGGAAGTGTCTACACTGGGGACTTTTTAACGCGTGGGTGGGAAGACGTCCTCTGCGAGCACTAACACGGGGTCACCACTGAGGCTCCCATCATGGTGCCAGGTGAGGGAATTGCTGTGTACCTGCATGAGATCAGGAAAAAGAGGACAATCTACGACAATGTACTACTCATCCATTAGTGGGCTCAGCACACATGGTGCTTTACAGAGCAAATGGCTACCACCTGCTCCTGGTGGGACCTGTAGTCGAGATGGTTGTCAGAGTTGGTTTTTAGCATGAAGGCAGTCGGTGCAAGGAATGTCATCTGTGCAAGCTGAGTGGGAGCCACGGGCTCCAGCCTTTGCAGTGGGATTGTCTGCGACATACCTGTCTTAATCTAAACCTGCTGCAGTGGACAGGTTTTAAGGCCCTTCCCTAATGCTTTTCCAGACAATCCTGTTTCCAGACCACTTGATGAGGTTGGATTTCACATACTGTTCTGACCATGTGAATGTGAGCTTGTGGCCCAGGGGAACTGAAAGCTGCCCTGGTCTGTGGGACACATTCCCAGCTCCTGTGGCGGAGCCACAGCAGGTCCCTGACTGGGCCCATTGTCCCTGCAAAGACTGCCCTGTTGGGAGGAGAGAGATCACAAGTTTTATTTACTATTTTGAAAGATAAATTCATTTGAAGCTAATGTCTGATGAAAAACATTGGGGGCACAAGTGTCAACTTCAGGCATGTGACTGAAGCACAGTATTCTGATGTTCATAGAATCATAGAATCACAGAATGGTGTGGGTTGGAAAGGACCTCAAGGATCATCTAATTCCTATCCCCCTGCCATGATCCTGGACACCTCCCACGAGACCAGGTTGCCCAAAGCCCCATCCAGCCTGGCCTTGAACACCTCCAGGGATGAGGCATCCACAGCTTCTCTGGGCAACCTGTGCCAGTGCCTCACCACCCTCTGCGTAAGGAAGTTCCTCTGTATATCTAATCTAAACCTCCCCTCTTTTAGTTTAAAGCCATTACTCCTTGCCCTATCCCTATACTCCATGACAAAGAGTCCCTCCCCAGCTTCCTGTAGGCCCCCTTTAGGTACTGGATAGGATGTACATGTATTCCTTATATCCTAAGGACATGGAGTAAGGCATCTCCAGAGGACGTCAGCCCATCTGGGCTGTTTTGCCTGCAAGGATGTTCTTGGCTCAGGTGCATCTTATTTCACTTGGGCAAGTGTGGCCCATCAGTCCAAAGGCTGCTTGTTTGCTTGCTGAGATAAAGCAACAAACCTATGTGATATGAAGGTAGAAGATCTTACTGCACAAGAACTGCAAGAGACATTTTGTTAATGCAAGCAACAAAGAATGAATGAATTGAATGAGAATCCAAGACTGAATTCTCCCTGTCTGCTGTTTTTACTTCTCCCTTTGTATTTCCAAGAGAAAGAAGAAAAAGCAGGCAATCATGGCACTTCCTATTACTTTTGTTTTGCTTTGCCTCCATTCTTCTTCCTTTGCATGGCTTTCTGTCATAAATGGCAGCAAGGGGTTTTTACCACCCCCAGCACCTACTCACAGTGCATGGTGTGTGACCCCATGACTGTGTGGCAGAGCACAAGGACTGGATTTCAGGGTTTCTTGCAGTCCCTGGGCAAGCTGCAGCAGAGGGCTTTCAGCTTCCCCTAGAGCTGAAAGCTGTGCTGCATCAATGAGATCTGGAAACACAAAGGAAAGGTGTTAATGTAGGTCTAAAGGAGCCCAATCCATGCTGAACTGCATGGACATGTGGACCTGCAACAAACATCTCTGTTGCTGCCTTTCTGGGGGAAATGGGGGAACACCACCCCTCCCACAAACACTGCCTGAAAAAGCGTTTTTAACACTATTTTTTTTGCATCAGATTTTTGAGCATCTTTCAGGCTACTGAGTCCTGAACTGGACAAGGAGAAATTGGAGGAATGACAGCGATGTCTTCATAGAGCACACTTCAGATCGCTGTTGTCCTGCAGAAAGGACCAATGTATATTAGCACTTATATGGAATATCCGGTGGTGATAAAATAACATTTTTGAGATATTCAGCTGTAAAACCTTTCACAGAGCTTTTTCTAAATCAATCCAAGCACTAAGGATAACTTAATAAAAGATTTATTAGGTGAGGGTTAATAAATAAGTAGAAAGGAAAGGTATGGAAAATAAAAGCGATATACCTGCAAATGGTCTGCTATACTGAGGTGAACTAAACAAGAGCTTGACTGGGACAAGGTGCTGCCTATGAGTTACTTATTTATTAAAAAAGAAAGGAAAAAAAAAAAGAAAAAGAAAGAAGGAGCAGGGTGTAATGATCCCATGTCAGCTCGTGGCAGAGAGTAGCCGTTTCCATCCACTTCTCTGGATCTCCATCTGCTCCTCTAGGGTCTCCGTTAGTTTGGGAGTGGACTCTGGGGTGTCAGGTGTTGGTGTTTGTTCTGCTTGCAACACGTCACAGTCAAACTGCAGCTCGAGATCAACAGGCTTGAGGCAACAGGCTCTGGTCAGGAAACATGTATCTTGGAACACAATGCTGGATGTTTTCTGTGAATAGTTAAATGATTCCTAGCTAATGGGACCTTGGCACTGAGAATTACTGTTATTAAGAAGGTTAGGAGCACCTGGAGGGAATGGTGAAAAAATTTCCAGGAAAGGGTACTTCTGGTGTGGCCTCAGTAGTGTTTTAAAGGCACTGTGCTTGAACGCATCCTTACAGTACACTCTGAAAACTGCCAGGACTGAACTGGTGCATGAAGAGAGACTTCAAGGGGAAAATTCCCTGTTCAGAGATAGATCTCTACGCTGACGATGTCAGCATTTTTCAGTGCAAAAGGTACTGTCAGTAGAGAATCTTCAGAAAAAGCTAGCAGTAATGAGCATTTATTTTCATTATTCCATCACCTAAAAATGTCAGCAGTGCTTTCTATGCCATCTCTTTTTGTCAAGACATATCTACTCTGTAGGGAGAGCAGTGAAAACACTTCACACCAAGTAAATGTTCATGCGTGTGACCGTTCATGTCATTATACTTTATTATAACAATTCTCTTCAAAGGTAGCATAAAATATCAAATAGGCTGGTTAGAAAACAGTATGTCATTCCTGATTTGCCTCTGCTCATGGACAAAAGGGTTGTTTTTTATTATTATTTTATTTTTTTTCTTTTCCATTGGACTCCAGCCTAAAATGAAACAGCACTAGAACAGAGGTCAAGAACTTGGAAGAATTCATTCAAGGGGAACCAGGTACAGCTTGACTCAATATCAATATTTCATATGTTCTGAGATTGTGGTTCAAACTACAAGATAGCAGAACACCATTTTTATAGCTTTCCATCTGTGAGAAGTTATTTCTCAAAGCACTCTGTATGAACAATCTAACAGATATTCATTTTTGAGATCATATATTCTGCTAAGTGGGATCTTTTTGATGCACAATCTGGCTGTGATAGTAATTTTAAAACTAGAGAGAGAGCCTTAGAGCCAGATTCATAAAAACAAATGTCTTCCACACAAAGCTATTTTCCATGATGTATTAACTCCTCCTTTCCCAGGCATTTGAAGGAAAATAATGTACTCAATATTATATACTTGTGGAGCAATGGAAGAAAGAATCTGTGCAAGAATCATAAAGAGATGATTGAGCTTTAAGCAAAAAAATACATATACCTTCCTTTAAAAAAATATATATATATATATATTTTGTTTATTTCAGGACATAAATACAAATACTTGGAGTTTGAGAACAGCCAAAACTCTTTCACGACACTGCAGCAAGAGTGTTTTATATTGGTGCTCTTCTAATTATGATGCAGTTGTAGCATACCACATGCCTGGTATTTAAGGTACTTTGGAAACCAGTTTCACCTATCCAGAATCCAGTGCCAATGTCTCAATAGGCCAGGCAGGATAAATTAATGTCATTTTGCATGGCTAATAGGGTTACTAGCATGGTAACATCCCATGTCACTGTCTTTGACTCTCCAGTCCAGATGAGCAGAAACCTATTTAGAGCAGGATTGCTGGTGGTAGCCTTGGTTTCCAATCTGTCACTAGGCTTACCACATGCCTTTGAACATACAGTGAGGTTTCTTAACCCACACTGCCACCACACCCCTGGTTTCATCTTACCATCCTTTTCCTGAGGTAACAAGAAATCACCAAAGAATTTGTAGAAGCCATTTCTTACCCATCTCAGTCAGCAATTTATGTTACAACCAAATGTGATTTTAGAATGATGTGATGTGTGTCTGATGTTAAGCAGAAGAAGATGGGACTTGTGGATAAAACAGCTTTTTCTGGCCTTACCGTCCATAGTCCTTTTTAACTACAGCAGCAGAATTATTTGGATAGAATCTGTTGCACTCACTATCACTCTATACTTGTGACATTTCTATGAGGTTTTGGAGCTTGCTGCTGTGACATCTGAGCTTCTGACCATGGCTGCTTTGTTCTTGTGTGCATAGATGACTAACCAGGAAATTCTCCCTCCCTCTGTCTCACCAGCCTTGCCTGTTTCAGCTTTGCTTGCTCTAGGTCTGAGTGCTATAAGTATATTCGAAGGTTAAAAGCTGTGAAGTAGCAAGTAAATAGAGGTTAAATGTGATCTTATTAAAGGTGTTGAGAGCTCTGCCACTGTTTCCTGTGCAATGAGGTTCTTAGTTTAAATTGAGACAAAT